ACATACACATACACATACACATACACATACACATACACATACACATAAATGAGATATACCCTCACAGGGAGCTACCAGGCTACCTAAAGAGAGGCAAACTGGCCCAGGTTGGAAAAACAGAATAGGTTAAAACTCTCAAGCTATTAAGTACTAGAACCTGGCCTGTTGATACCCATTCCTCTTCCAGACTCAGCGAGACCATTAAAAAATTATTGAAAAATTAATGAAATCCTATTATGGTTCATCCTATTAGATTGAGCCTAGCATTTCAGTTTGTCATTAATGGGACCTTTTAACCTTTTTTTGTGTCTGGTGAAGCCAATTGACTTTCTCAGAATAACATTTTTAAATATATAAAATATGTTTATATATATAAATACATAAAATATATTTTGCATATAATATATATTTAAATATATATAAAACATATTTATATATAAAATAAAATAGGATTATAAAGGAAATTAACTACACTGAAATGAAGATGTAATTTTTTTCCATCCAAGTTCACAAACAGCCAGAAGTCTATCCATGAATCTTTTGTGGATCCATAAATCCCCAGTCAAGAGCCCCTGGTCTAGACTTTTTTGAATTCTTATTTTGTCATGTTAATTATCCCTTTTGACTTTGTGTTATTGGTAAATCTGACCTTTCTCTTAATAAAGGTAATGTGTGAGTTACTTAGCAGTTCCTACACTCTATTTTAGTATTTCCTCTTTGCAGTCTTTTATTTTATTTACATTTCGCTTTGGAAACTTCATCATTTGACTTTATCATGCATTTGTTATTCTTTGTGTTACAGACGAATCCTTCCATTTAAAAAAATCAAGATTGTGGAGAAAGAGAACAAAACATGATAAAGCTCCCTGGGCCATTTGCCTGATGAAATAATGCAGTGTCTCTAATCTTTATTTTGGATAGCTATTAAGTAACTTCATTGTAGTTTTTTAAATGCTAATTTACATGATAAATGAATGTTTCTCAATATACCTAGCCCCTGCAGGTAAAAATATTCATACAATTATATACCTAATTATCTCTATGTCAGTCACCATATACTACATTAAAACTTCCTGTAATTTCTCAATTCTCAATTTTTAAAAACATTTATTGAATACCTAGTTTGTACAAGGTGCTAAGTTCTGAGGATACAAAGAGAAAATGAAAAATAGTCCCTACCCTCAAGGAGCTTACATTCTATTGGAAGGAACTTACCTTCTATTCCAGGAGTTCTTAATCTCTTTTGTGTCAGAGACCCCTATAGGAGTCTGGTAAAGTCTATGAACCCCTTCTTAGAGTAATGTTTTAAAATAAATAAAATAAAATAGAGAGGATTACAAAGGAAACTAATTATATCAAAATAGAGTTATCAAAATTTTAAACAAATAAGTTCACAGAGCCCAACTTAAGAACCCCAATTCTACTCAACATAACCTGTTCAAAAGATTACAAAACTTTATTATTCACGCTAACAAATCATCTGCATGCATGCCCACATTTTATAACTCTCCAAAAATTAAGTAAAGATACTTTATATAAAAGTGTCTACCATCATTAGCGGCTCCATTGGCTAGAAATATGTAATACTTCTGGTCCAGGTCAAATCTCTTCGAACCAGGAAGACTAATATTTCTTCTAAAAGAACACTGAACAACTCCATCAGCCAGCCTCCATGCCATAGCTTCAAGGGCAGTCTGCAAGAAAACACATACACAGTACACACAATGGTCTTTTCGACATTTCCAAATGACTGCTAAAAATAAGGATGTGATTAAAATTAATAATCAGCACAGAATTCCAGAATGAGATGGCGCCTAAAAGGTCATCTGGCCCAAATGACAGAGTTTGTTGAATTTCCTTTCTGTAATTGGTGTGTGTGTGTATTTGTTTAGTTTGTGTTCAGTTATTGTGCCTCCACTGCCTCACAAAAGATTGCAAAGGGTATTTTCCCCCTACTGTCATCACTAGTGTCTGACCTCCCATTTGGCAAGCATGCTATTATTTTACCTTGCACCAGGTTCTCCCAGGACCTAATGAGCACACCACTTAAGAGTCTCTGAAAGCTTCATTAATTCCTTCAGGCCATCAGTGTCCAATCTAGTACACCCAAAAAATAACTTGCTGAATAAGTTCCCTAGTGGGCAAAACCTAACTGATAACTGGTTCCAGTTCATTAGGAATATTTACTGCTCCATCCAAGTTTATTTGGTTGTCAAATGACTATGAAAAATATCTTTCATGTTAGGTGTATTTTGTATGTATTTTGTATGTTCTTATATATGTATTTGTTATTTCCCCCAAAAGAACATAAGTTACTCAATGTCAGGAACTGTTTCACGTTTGTCTTTGCATCCACATTTGGCCTGGCACATAGTAAGTGCTTAATAAATGTTTGTTAATCAATTGGTTGACAATCTATGGTACTAATGGTCCTGGGAGACAAAAAGGGCATTTGTTTGGAGCTTTTTCCCACTATCCACCACATCTCAGAATCAGAGGTGGGTTCTCATAGGCCACTATAGCCCAGCCTGTAGCTTAACAAGAAAACCCTCTGAAACATACTGATCAAGTAGACATCCAGTCTTTGCTTGAAGTCCTGTAAGGAAGAATACCAGTTACCCTATGCCCTATAGAGGGAAGCAGGCCATCCCACAGTTTTGCAGATATAATTGTTAGGGAGCTTTTATGAGGTCTAAATCTACACTCCTATTATATTGTACCTATTTCTTTCCTCAGTAAGCTTACTTTCACTGACCAAAAACTCTTCTGCTCACCAGAAGACCTCTTCTCAAAGGCCATTCCTATAAGTTAGGGAGAAGGAAATCTACTTGTCAATTAAATATTTTGTCAAATACAAGTCTACAAAAGAAAAACTCAACAAAGATCAAGTACAAGGATTAGCAGATAACTGAGGCAAATTCAAGTATTTTTCAAATTTTTTTAAATTTCAGAAATATGAAACAAATGTTGCCAATTTTAAATAATAAAATTATTAGTACCACATTTTCAGTCATAGTATAGTAAAAAGAATATGTAGTTATCTCTACATTGTTTCATGAGTCTCCATTGTCAAAGAATCTATCATCCAGTGGCCATTAACCCACTGGTGATAAGTTTCTTCCTACTTATCTATCCTTGACCTTACACAGAAGGCAGAGTCTATCAAGGGGACAAAATTCAAAGTTTTTCCAAGTTTAGTAGGATTTCCTAGAGCTTACATTCCAATTTCACAACTTTTGATAACCCAGAGTCAACTCCACATTACAAGAGGCACCTGAGTTGAAACTTTTTAATAAATAAATAATGTATCTGAAAAATGAATATTCATGCTGTCGACTCCCAAAGACAGAGATCAAAGGATCAAGTGATAGACCTTTTCCTTAAAAAAGAAAATCCACTTGCATAGTAGAAGAAACTATAATTTTAAAAGGACTTTCTGAATCACTGTGATGGGACAATGAGGGCCAGAGCTACATTCTAACAGGGACTTTGCTTCCCAACTATTCTGATTTGAGGCTAGCGTCCAATGATGCGATTATAGCCAAATGACCAGCAGGGTTGAAAAGATGGAGGATATTATTCCAAAATTTTTAGATCATACCGAAGAATCTAACACAGGGTGACTTCGTCCAATCACATAAGAAGGGTGTATGTGCACAGTCTCATCTTCACGAATACACAAGTATCCATCATCATCACCCTAAAAGACATTTTAAAATGCAAAAAGTTTAAAGGGCGTAGAAAATTACATTTTTCTAAAAAAAAAAAAAAGAATTGACACATTTTAGAATGCACCTTGATGTCTGGTAGAAAAATAAAGTAGTAGGCTATTTGCATTCAAAGTTGTTGAGAACTCTCTCATTTTCCCAATTTAAGGATGCTTATGATCTAAAGGATTAGAAGCAGCAGATGCATGTATATTTATGAGCTTTTTTATGTTTTCAGAGTGGGCTTTGTTACAATATGGGAGGTACATGCAAATTACAGTGGAAGCATTAACTATCATAAATTAAAGTGAAGATACTTGAACTCTAGTGCATGAACAATAAGAGTATTTTGTATCAGACTGCTTGATGAGTCAGTAGGGCCATAATTAAATGTAATCTGTCTTTTTCTCCCTCAATGTCTCTTTTTTCTAAGAGGTGAATCTTATTAAAAATGACCCTGAGAACACAAACCATAGCCTTCAAATACCTTGCTGGTGATAAGGCTAGTTTTTAAATAATGTCTATGGATTTTAGACTTTTATTTACTCTAAAGCTCCCTTGAAATACTTCTTTAAATTAATTTGCTTCTTAAATTGTCTAAATATACTGGAACATTGTTCCATAAGTAGGGGTAGAAGTAAAGGGAAGGGAATATTGTATCCATTTTAGAAATTTAATGGAGAAGAAGAAAGCTGGGAATAATCTGACATGCACCCTAGATTTCAGGACAGTGGACTTCAAAGGATTCAGGAAAAGGGCAGCTAGGATCCCAAGGCCTAAAATTTCACAAGAGGCATCAACCCATGAGGAAAGGGAAACTCTCAAGAAGGAAATTTTGTACACATGAAAAGAAAACAGTTAAACTGAGAAGGGAAAGAGGGAGCTATCTAAACAATCTGATACACACACACAGACACACACACACACGCACACACATACAACTCACCAGCCAATAAATTTTTAAAAGACACATAGCGGAATAGAAGATAAAAACAAGAAGAGGTAATAGGATAAAGAGAAAAACATGGGATGACCCAGTAAATTTTGTTATTGTTGTTATTGTTCAGTCATGTCCAATTCTTTGTGACCCCATTTGGGGTTTTATTGGCAAAGATACTGGAGTGGTTTGCCATTTCCTTCTCTTGCTCATTTTACCAATGAGGAAACTGAGGCAAACAGGGTTAAGTGACTTGCCCAGGGTCACACAACTCTAAGTGTATGAGGCCAGATCTGAACTCAGGAAGATAAGTCTAACTGACTTAAGGCCCAGGACTCTATCCACCTAGCTGCCAACCATTTAAATACTGGGTTCTAAACTCAAAAATGAGCTAGGAATGTCAAGGAAAGCTATATTCGAGAAAAGAGGTATCTCAGAGAAGGGACAGGACCACTGCTCAGAGGAGATGAGAATGATACCTGACAATGATATCTGACAATGGTTCAATTCTTCTATTTTCTCTGCCAAGAAAAATGATCTTTAGACTAGAAAGGACAAAATTAAAATGTTCAATAGGGAGTCACTGCCCAAGGTAAGAAGATAGTAGAAACTCCTTAATGGTAAAATCTAGCTACTACTTATGAATTCAAAAAGGCTCAAATGAACTAAATCTTAGGGTATGCAAAGAGTTGGCAAATTGCTTTCTGAGCCACTGGGAGTAATCCTTTATAGTAACCACTGAAAAGAAGTTACCAACAATATAGAGAGACATTTTTGTTGATCCACACGACTTCTCAAAACTCTGCTTTTTGTAGTAGCAATGAACTAGAAACCAAATGGATGCCCAATCAATTGGGAGATAAGTAAAAAAATGGGGTATAAAAATATAACTTAATATGATTATATATAAAAATTATAAATAAAAATTATTAATATCAGGAATTTGGAGGAAATGTAGAAGCATTTGGAGGAAATGAAGCACAGTAAAATTGGAAAAAAAAACAAAATAATAATAAACATCATGATTGTCACAATACAAATTAAAAGTTCAGCTGAAGGAAACTAAACTCTAATTGTCTAAAAACAGTTAAGATCTCCCAAAATAGATAATTAATAGATAATTAATGTAACTTCCTTCAAGCAAGACAGAATATGTCTGTTGTTAATATATACATTATCATATCCAATTATTTTACTGGATGTTTTTTAACTAACTATTTTTCTTTGTTTCCAGGGATGATTCAATCTAGAGAAGGGGTTACATGGGGTTTTCCCCCCTGAAATGACTGTGAAATAGACAGAAGACAGCAATTTAAAAAATAGTTTGATTTCCAATATGCCAAAACAGATTAATCTTAATTCCTTTTTCTGACAGCATTACTCGACTGATAGGTCATGGTAATGGTATAATTAACTTGAATTTTAGCAAAATATTTGACAAAGTCCCTCTTGCAATTCTTGAGCAAAATATGGAGACCTCAAAGGTTCCTTCCAGCTCTAAATGTATAATTCTATGATCTAGTGGCAATAGGGAGCTACTGAAGGTTCTTGAATAGGAGAGAGCCATAGTCATAGAATGCTTTAGGATTGTCAATTTGGCAGCTGTGTGGATTTTGGATGGGAGAGGAGAGGGGCTAGAGGCAAGAAGACCAACAGGGCAACTATTGCCATAGTGGACAGAAGGATACAGATGTAAAAGATGTTGCAGAAGCAGAATCAACAATATCTCCCCTCTAGTTGAATGCACAAAGTGAGTGAGAGTGAAGAGGTGACCAAACTCCTAGGTTGCAAAGCTGGGTAACTAGAAGAATAGTGGCACCCTTGACAATAATATAAAAATTAGAAAGAAGGGGAAGAATTTGGGGAAAAGATAGTAAGTTCAGCTTTGGTCATGTTGAGTTTGAGCTATCTATAGGAAAGCCTATATGAGATGTACAGCTGGCAACTGGAGATGCAGGACGAGAACCCAGGAGAAAAATGAGGGTTGGATGTATAGATAGATGAATAATCTGTGTAGGGGTGAATGTTGAATCCATGAGCATTGTTGAGATCACCAAGAAAGCACACAGAGAGAAGAAAAGAGGGTTGAGGGCAGAGTCAACAATAAAATATGTACTTTGAACTGGAGAGGATAAAATATATATAGTTTGGTGCCCTTTTATTCCTACAACGTACAGCAGAAAGAACTACCTTTAATGTGAGTTCTTTGTGACCAAAAAACAGACAAAGCTAATGTTATATCATGCAGCTTAATCACCTATCCCACTTGCCTGAATTAGTTCTCAACTACTTTCTGCTATTTCCAGAAATTTGGTCAAAGGAGATACAGCTTTTCCATAAGCATTGATATTCAAAAGAAAGTAATTCTTTTCAAAAGAAAGGCTCTGACATTCCAAAAAGCCTTTGACCAAGAGCGATATCATTGGAATAAATAGAGAGCTTCATAACATGACTGTTTGAAAGGGAAAACATGAATTTGGATGTATAAATTCTGGTATGTTTGTTTTTGTTTTTTTTTTAATCCATTTATTGCCACTTTTCATATAATATATATATTCTTATATATTCACTACTCCTATATACTCTTATATATTCACTATTTTGTAATGACATGCAATAGCAAATTCAAAATTTAGATTATGTGTTCATCAAGAAGAATGTTTATGTCACATGCACAAATAGATGAAGATTGAAATTCAGTCCAAGAAAACATCTGCAACTGGCTCCACTTCCTTACTCTCTCCAGTGCAACACATTGATAGCTATAGAAAGCAGAATGAACAAAAACCAATTTTAGGGAATAGAAGCCTTTCCATTCATTCCATCAGTCTTGAGCATGAATAATAGGGATTCAGGCCATCAAACCCTATACTCCCAACCTAAGGAGACTGAGAGAGAACATAACAAATTAAGGGGGGGGGGGGGGGGGAAATGGATACAATAATGCAGGAAATGATATAAGAAAACTGCCCAGAACTAAAAGGCATAATGGAGTGCATTTGGAGAGGGATAAAAGGAGGGAGAAACAGAAGTGATATTGTTCTGAGAGCATACTAATAGACCTATTGACAAGTTAACAAATATGGATCATGCTTTCAAAATAAAGATCATAAAATTGGAACATGAGGAAGGTATAATAATGCTGAGGGACATCAGTGACCTAGACATCCATTCAAAATGTCCTATCAAAAGCAGAGCTTCTGAAAAAAATTCTTGATTTTAAATGCTAATAATTTTAACTCTCAAAACTCTCACCACACATATTCCTGACCATATTATCCAATTCCTCATGCCCTTCAAGGGTCAGGTGTCCAGATTAAGTGGAAGAGGATTCAACTGAGAGGCACAGTCTGTTCTACCTGAGCAGATTCACTCCCCCCTAGCTCACCCTACCCCAACCCCACCACCAACGGGGTAGCAATAAAGGCATCCACCACCCTGTGACTCAAAAAGGCTTTTGGGAATTGTTACAAAGACTATTGCCCCAATTATTGGGCTCTTCTTAAATCAGTTGCAAATGGGAAGGTGGTCTTTTTTGAAGCTTACAGCTAGATGCTACTTTCGGACTTCTTCCTTCTGGAATATTTTTCTAATTTTTATTTTTCCCCAAGGAAAGTAGGTATGTGTGTGTGTGTGTGTGTGTGTGTGTGTGTGTGTGTGTGTGTGTGTGT